CCCCCCCCCCCCCCCCCCCTCCCTCGTTTTTTCCAAGAAAAAATAAACCGACATAAATTCGGGGGGAAATATTTTAAATATATTTTTTAGTGGTCATTGTTCTGCCGCAACAAACGTTATTATGGTGTCACCGACTACTGTCTTTCTTTTAAAAAAGAAAGTAAATGCTGATTTTACGGCACTCGCAACTAATAAAAGTGCCAAAGATTAGAGGTATTACAAGAGAATAACAAACACAAAAGAGGAGGAGAGATCAGGACGATAGATGTTTCATAGGAAAGAAGGAGCAAACCACACCAGAGCAGCCACCAACCACACACCGCCCCTTCCTTTTTTCTATACTATAATAACACTGTCCAAGAGGACATTTGTCTAAGATAATCACTTTCCTCCTTGGCATCAGGTAATCGTCTTAGTTAATTTGTTTGTTTCAGTAAAGAGAAGCACACCGACACAGTAATGGTCAGTGCTAGGAAAAAGTAAAACAGACAGACAGACAGAAAGACAGATACACCAGAGGGAAAATAAAGAAGTAGGGCCTACCTGTGTTGCCCTCAAACCAACCGCGATTGTCTTGGACAGTTTCAAATGCATGTTTTTTACAACCCCCATCAACACAACTCAGATTAATGTGGGCTGCCTCAACCCTGCCAGTCAAGCTCAGCTCGGGGCGAGAGGGATGCAAAGTCCAGCAGACAGACAGAGATACTCTGTATAGTCAGCATTATACTGGTTTCTGTTTATTACTAGCCTAAAGCTTGTGGTCATTTTCTTCTTGAGCCTTGAAACATGAATCTGGCAACATAAGTGGTAGTAAACTTTTTTAAGCTTTAGTGAAAGTTTTACGGCACTTGGAACAATTACTGAAGATTAGAGGTGTTACAGGAGAGTAACAAACACAAAAAAGGAGAGATCAGGACAATAGAAGTTTAGAAAGTAAAGAAGGAGCAAACCACACCAGAGCACCCCCCCCCCCCCCACACATAGCAATGAACTCAGAAAAGCAGAAGTTCAGATAGGCTGAGAGAAGAACGAGAGTCAAAGACAGGACAGGAAGAAAAGTATACAAAGGAAAATGGAAGGGAAAATAGAAAAGAAAGGACCCTCTCACGACTGCAAATTCCCCCCCCCCCCCCCCCCTCTCCCCTAAAAAAAAAGTTCTTCTAAAATGACAAACCCCTACTTACATTTATGAAGAAATCTTAAATCTTGCACCTTTAGCAAAGGACTTAATACACGAAAAATGTATTTTTTCCAAAGCGTGGAAATAATCTCTCTCTCTCTTGCCTTTTTTTAACTCCCAGTGGAGCACAGGCCATAAACAGCATTACTCCAGCGAAGCCTGTCCTGAGCAGTGTGGAAATAATGGTGAACATAATCCACAAGTCTACACTGTCGATCTGCTGCTGCCACAATTTTAAAGGTATTCTTCAATGAACTGAAGTAGTAAACAACTACATGTATTCTAAGTGTGTACGAATGTGGGGATAACTGCAACCATAGTGCCTACAACAGGCTGCTTTATTCCAAGGAGTGGAACCGGTACTTGTATTTATAACACGGTTCGCTCAGCACCAACAGCTTCCTTTTCACATGGCTGTTAGCCATAAAGATTACACTACAGTTAGCCTTCTTTCAAACTACAGCTTGGCACCTGTTATCGGATACTCTCACTTCTCACCCCGCTTCAAGGTATGAAATTTACTACATTAAAAGAAAATAAATTTTATACAAAGACATTATTTCAGAAAAATGTTTTTTTTAATTCAAACATTTTTTGCTCACATTGCAAAAACTGTATGTCAAAAAAAGGATGAAGCAAAATGTTCAGACTGGAATGATGATGATAACGATGCTGTTACGACACTTGCTACCTCATGTACCGTCTGCCAAAAACCACCGTAAAAATAAAATGCTGCAAGCATGTACATTTTCCATTTACGCGTACATTAAAAACTGTTCACAAAGTATTTTTAAAAAACACACACACTAAAAACAAATAAAAAATACTAGTAGTGAACATTCTCAGAAGTTCAAAATGAGAAATCTATGATTGTATGTACTAAACGTATGACGCTTAATGACAGCATACCAATTTTCTGCACATAATATTGCCGTCTTCAGATACAAAAATAATAATAATAATAATTTTAAAAAACAAAAACAAACAAACTCAACAACAATGCTGTGACCATTTCACAATAAAATCAACACACTAACAGAAATTAAGTTTCACAGCCAGAAAAAGATAATTAAAAAATTAAGGAGACCCAACACCGTGACATTTTAAGCAAAAGCCTCACAACATCAAATCAGTATCTAAGGACTGTCTCTTTGACTTGGAAATAATATTTCATAAAAAAATCTGAATAGTGTAAAATTTTTGAAACAATAAACAATAATAACAATAAAGACTCAATATAGCACACATAAAATTCGCCATTTTGTCCCAAGTAAGTCATTTTGCTCGATGTTTCACAATATAAAGGTTATCATTTAGTTTGATTCTTTTTTTTTTAAAGATAAACTGAGGACAATCAAACCTATATAAAAGCAGACAGTATAGAATAGACAAAAATTCTTTCCAATGATTTACTCGATAAGTGTATGTAAAAATTTCCTTTGATTTAAGTTGTATGTTTCACCGCTTCTTGCCCTATTCATTCTTATGCAGCTGAACTCTTTAATCCTTTGATCATCAACAGCAGAGAATTACATATGACTGACATCCTGTGAACCTCACTACTACCTTTGATCAACTAAGAACTAGATCTATGTAAAATCGCATAAGATGAAGTCAATTATTATAGCATTTGGAAATTGTGATATTTTCAAAGGGTTTTTTTGGGGGGGGTTTCCAAATTCAAAAAGAAATTACCTCTGATGAAACCAGGTACTTTATTCTGTTGCTTTGATAGTTCTACATTCAAGAAAGAAAGATATCATTTTTATTTTTAAAAAGGCTCGCACCCTTTATAAGACACTTGTTACAATTAGGGCGGGGGGGGGGGGGGGGGGGGGGGGGGAGCCTTTCCTTTTCTGATGCTTCAAGAGGGCTCTGGATTTCTCCCTCATTTTTCTACAACACCCCAAAAGTTTTTCCCCATTCGCTCCTAGCAGAAATTAAACAAGTTCCAAAGAGTCAGTCATGAAGAAATTACTTTTGAAAGTAAACTATGTCTGCCTTACCATAGATTTGACCCCCACACATTAATCCCCAAAATATATTGATGATGAAGTTAAAAGTGTGAAACTATTAGTATTTTCAATGTTTGGATCAATAAGTACAAACATTTTGAATTGGAAAATTTTAACGTCGTCTATACCCTTTAAAACCTGTGTGTATTTTGGCAGGTTAGGTACATTTCACATTCATCCAATTAATGTAGGTGTGGAATGGGCATGTAAAAATGACATCTGTAATGGGATCATGAACGTGACAAAATGGGAAGCGATACTGACACACAGATCCCTTAGAGTTCAAAACATCACAATATTACTAAAAAGTAACACATTAGAAAAATTATTTATAACATTTTTCAGCATAATAAAATTGGATCTTTCTCATCATCATTAAACCGAATATGTCAGACAATAATATTTCATGTCCAGGGATGCAGCGATACAGGATCTGTGCACATTCATAACAGCATACATCGCACACATTGCTCAGCAGTCAAGAGAGACCACGATGACAGGTATATATATGAATATGAATGCATACCAATAGACAATATTTGTTATCAAATACCTGAATGCATACACAATACACATTTCTTGACCAAGCACTTCCTGGAATGATTCATTCAACAGTACTCAGCAAAGATCCTTCCTTGTTTTTGAAACACTTGACAACAATTTATCGTCAACAGTACAGAAAACACTGACAAATATTACTTCCCTGTTGGAGCATTAAAAACATATTTCATGCATCTAAAACAATTCATTTCTCTTTTTCTTTTCTTCAACAGTTCCCTTCTTCCAACACCACCTGACTGACAACCTGAAGCCACAGTCAGGGACTGCAGTAGACTCCATGAGAAAGATAAATCTATATAATATAGAGAATTTATATTGTAAAGTTTGAAAACATTTCTTATGAACACAGCCATCAGAAAAATCCTTGATGTGTAAACCAAGACCAACAAAAGTACTAGCAAACTTTAAGTAACTTAAAAAAAGTAAAGCCCAAAATCTCCTTGAAACTTTAAACACTACAAAATAAAATCGTTTTAACATTTCAGAAAATAACACCGTGTCAACATTTCAGAGACAAGCCTTCGGTTTCAATAGATATAATGAACACGACAAAAATTCTTCTTCAATTAAGAAACTGAAATGTTCTACGAACTAATCTTTAAAGTTGATCGTTTGATTGGAGTAACAAATTGAAAGGCAGCTCCTCACCAGGCCTTACTTAGATAGAAGTAAAACTAATTCCTAATTGGAAAATAGTTCTGCGGTGCCAAACTTTTACTCAATTGATAGCTGAAAATCAGTCAAATGAAATCATAGTTTGATAAGCTGGATTGGTTCAGTCATCAATGATTATTATGTAAGCAAAGGTCACAACCTTTAGTTATTCTTTTGTTATTGATGCAATAAAATATTACACTTGTGTGACCTATTCCACAGACAAAGCAATATGTTTGATTGACAGCCAGCTAGATAATGTTGAACAGTCAAGGTGGACTTGAAATTTAAAAAATTCGAAAAGACATTTTCTATCCATTTTATCCTTTAAGGATTCACTGACAAATATAATTTTAAAAACCCGCAAAAAAACCAGAATGTACCATTAATAAATATCCCGGAAACAAGATCATTTAGAGATCTAAAACAGCCTCTGGGGTAAACGTCCAGCTACTTTTAACATCAGCTTGACTGATCACACAACATGTGTCAAAAGACAAATTCTTTACTGTCGTGCTTACAGCCAACCGCAATTCAGAATATAATTGTAAGTTACTACTTTAAAAAGCACAGTAAATACTTGTGCTTTTTGCTTGCAAAAACTCCATTTCCAGACTGTATAAAAAGACAAAAATCAATGCTCCATACAAAACAAATCAACATCAGTCAGCCATCAGTCCAGGAAACCCCTTGGTCATACTGGTCAAGAACCCATTGTGAAAAACAACATGTGGACTTGTAACACACCCAAGACTCGATGATTACACAGATGTTTTAAAAAGATATCTGAAGAGCTGTGCCCTCCCCTCCAAAGCTCAAGATGACAAATATGCACAAATGTCACTTGCGGTATTTACAAAATAAGATACTGCACTCGCAGATGGTTTCTTTATACCCTCAAGTCTCTAAATCTGGAGACATTTCATTCCCCCTGTTTCTGCGTCAAGAAATAATGTTGTCTTTCTGGTAAGCTCTCTTATAAAAAAAATAAACATAAAATTTTATTTTTCGAGTCAAATTAATTATACAATTAATTTAAGCTGAACTTCCTTGCATTTCAAAAGAAAACAATGTTGAAGTAACAAATCTGTACTGAAAGATTTGACTAGATTTCCATGCCCAAAAAGAACTTGCGCTCCTTCAGTTACACTTACATCAACAGCAATAACGAGAACATAGATTACAGCAGTTTCAGGAGAAGATTGGGATTTAATCATATGTGCCACCAAAATAATAGCATTACATCTATAGCAACAGACACAAGGAGATAAAAATATGTACCTTCTTATCAATACTGTGTAAGATAGAAACACATTTTCAGTTGGGCATTAGATGTAAGTTTAACTTCAATTTAAAAGTATTGAATCAGCTAAAAAAAAGCAAAAAATTTTGTTTTCTCCCTCATCTTATTTTCCTTAATAAAACTGGCTTCTGATTACTTTACATGGACCCCCTCCCCTGCAAAAAGATCATCACTTTAAGGCACAAATGAAATTCAGTTAAACAATGACACGATAAAAACACTTGTATACTTCTGAAGAAATATCTTTCCATTTTGTGTATCGACCCTTATTAGAGAAACAACAGTATACCGGTATTGTCAAACAGTCTACTCATGCAATTAACCAAGATTGTATGGTGGCACCAAGCACATAAAATAGGACTGTCCAAGTTACATTATAATAAGTCCAAGCAAAAAGTTGGGAACATCTAAAACCTCTGGAACAGCAGGAAGAAAGTAGTATATACCACTTGTCACAAGGAGAGTGTCTGTACTATAATAAAATGTAACAAACCCTTCTTTAAAGCCACTAATGGGACAGCTATTTTTTTCAAGATAAACACGTACATAATGTTTTAAGTTTAATTTACGTAAGTTTACTTCTGAGATTCTTTAAACTCAAAAGACGATGTATTCCAGCACCCTACAACCCATTTCCCTCGTTTAAAAAAAAAAGGAAAAGATTTTTGAAAATGGAAAAAGAATAAATCCGTACAACCTAACCTTTCTAAACAATGCAAACAGCGTTAACAATTACAAAGCTTCCATTCAAAGCAACAACCATCTCCCAAACAGTAACCCATGTCAGGTAAAAACATAACATTCATTTATACACTACAACATGATCAACATATATTGTTTTCGTCATAACTGTACACGGCATTATAATACATATTTTAAAAAAACAACAAACGTATTACACAATAAGACACAGATGAACAACACAAAATTTGATATTTCCCAGATAGACGGACACAAAACTTAGGATATATATATATAACACTTATGTGAATGATACAAAGAGTAATGCATGACATAATATGAAAATATACATATGACAATATACCACTTAAGCAACAATCAGTTCCAATCATATATTGCACATTCCAGTACCTTGCCACTGAATGACAAAAAGGAGAAGACGGAGAAAAAAGGTAGAAATAGCACAAATGATTTTTTTTCAGCACCATCATTTCCCTTGGTGGGGTAGAGCAACAATAACAACTTAAAATACAAACAGGTACTAAACTGAACTTTATGTTTACCACAAAACTATGTTATGAAAATAATTAAGGACAGGATTATAAAAAAAGAAACCAAAAACCCACCACGAAAGAAAAGTATACACCCACGACTAAATAGAAAATATCCTTATTTTGACAAACAGACACAGAACCAGAAAGGACTTTGCCAATTAAAACATAGGAGAGAAACTACATATAAGATAAAAACTTTCACTTTATGTCTTTTCAGTGGCAAGGTCAACATTATCCATGTCTTGTAAGACAAAGTGATTTCAGGACAAAATCCTCTTTAAATTAAATAACAACAATAATAACAAAAAAACTCAAGACCGATTATACCAAAAGCATCAGTCAATCAGAAATAAAAGTCATACTATTCGATCTCTTTTGGAATGCATTAAGCTTGGCCATATATTGAAATAATACCTTACAGCTGCTATTCAGTCTTTATTCCCATCATTTTCATATATGGAATTTTTCTTCAATGACCACTTTTCTTCAAAAGAAGGAAAACGCAAGAAAAGACTGGGATCACTTCCTTTGAAACAAGAGGAAAAACGTTTCCTTAAAAAAAAATTAAAAAATAGGGAGCATATCAATCCTGCACCTCATCTACATTTGCACTGAATCCATATCCAATACAGCTGGTTCTAGAACAAAACAAACCTGTCGTCATCAGGGCAAATGGTCTATGATGGAAATCGTAATGACAATACATACACATTTTAAATCAACACAACAGGCCCTTATCCCTTCCCTTTTCCGAAGCAGCAAAGCATCTCAGGAGCCTTAATATGCATACTACCTGATCTACTTCTACATTATGTAAAACATGAACATACTTCACTGATTTCATTCGAGTCAATATTGGGTCCCACACAAAATTTTTGAGAAGTGCTTCCTTTTTTTGTCTGAACTTGATTTTGCATACAAACTTTAACGACAGATATTGGTTGAACTTTAAGGTCTCTCTATAAAAGTTTTCAGATGTTCATAACAAAAGAAAATATAGCACTGAATTACTATTACAGATCAATAACCAAAAAAATTGAAACACTGTCCTTTCTTCACATCACATCATCACTGAAAGAAAATCTTCCCTAAAAACAAACACACCATGGACATTTTGAATCTGACCTACCTTAATCTGAATCAAAGCATAATAAGAATATAATGACATTAATGACAAAATAATCTGGCACAAAAGGAGGATGGTAGCCTTCCGAACCATTTGAAAACAAGAAGGTACAAAAATTGCAAAATATCCTATTTACAAACTGCAAACTGTCGATTCAAATTTTAAGCAACCAAGTTAGAGTAACCAAGACTTAAAAGTAGTTTTCTAAAAACCCTGACTCCCTAAAATCATGAATTTTAAACTGAAACTGATCTATAAACAATTATCAAGCATACACTACAAGACACATCTTCATAAAATTTTCAACTCAAATTTCAAATGCTAGACAATTCCCCCAGAACTTTCTTTTCTTTCAGAAATAACTAAAACAACATACATAGAGACTCCACACAATTACCAGACAAACAAATAACTGTGGTAAGGACATAGTGATTTTGGCTCACACTGTGTACTTTGTAATATTGCAATGTTAGGTGGAAAAGAAGACTCGTTGTCATCCATGAAGTGAAACGCCTCCGCCTCTTGTTCCACTAAGCATGGCAGATCATAGTGGCGAGGAGATACAAGTGATATATGAATATGGCGATGCAGCAAACAGAATAAAGATTGGAAGTCCCTGTATCAAAATAAGTGTTGTTGCACTTGGTTTAAGTGATAGTTCAAGGCCTCATGATTGCAATTATGTAATATATTATGTAATGTTGACTGACAATGTCTGATTTTTTGCCTTATGTGTAATGTGTCAGTTCTTTGAATAGGAAGAAATCGCGTGGGTTTTTTCATCTCAGATGATCGCTGCTGCTACGACAAAGTCGAACTGGGCAACATTGCTTCCGACTTGACAACAATGGACCCATGCATTGGTGACACAACGTGAGGCTGTGTTAGTACACGAATGTCATTTCGGTGAGCAAACTGTTCCAGTGCATCACACTTGTTCCTTAAAGCATTCAACTCCATTTTAACGACATTATTCTCTCTTTGTAACCGATCAACCTCAGCACGCAGTTTGTCTTTCTCTGTTTCAAGCTCCTCTTTTTGGGAGATTCTCTTCTCTCGGCAGTTCGCGGCGTAGCCTCTGTTTTTAAGGGTTCGCCGTCGCTGTTTCAACTTTGTCACTTCATCTCTTGAAAGCCCTTTGAGGAGACGATTCAGTTCTTTTACTGATAGAGACACGAGGTCGTCATCGCTGATGGAAGAATGATTCGGAGTCAGAGGAGGGCTAGTGCTTGGTGCCCTAGCAGCTGCAGCGGCGGCCGTCAGCTCCTCTGACTTGACTTGGGATAAAAATATCTGAAATAAAAACAAAGATTTATTTAGATTCAATCCAAAAGAAGATATTTTTAAGGGAGACTATTATTTCCAAACTACTTGCCAAAAGTGCACCGATCAATGATGAGGAATACATCCTGTAATCTGTTGCACCTGTGGGAAATGGACATCATATTTCAAAAGTGCAAAACAGAAACAATGTCAAACAGCCTTGTCTCTAAACTACTGGGGAAAATACAAAGCGGTGAGAAACACTGATTTGATTAATAAACCACAACATTATAAACAGAAAATAAATTCGTTCAACAAACTTTTTAAAAAGAAAGAAAACAAATTTTAAAGCAAATTTGAAAACATCTCTGTGCAGTTTTACTCAATGTACTTAAAACATAATTTCGAGCGTGGATTTTTAAAAACACCCTTCAAGCAACAATACTTAATCGTACTGACTCAGCACAAATTTCACCTTTCCTCTTTAAAAAAAAGGATAAATGTACTGAATATTTGTTGAGTCTCTTTCAGTCTCAACCGGACTAAATCAATGGCAATGACATTTATCATTTCCAAGTACAAAACCTGCATTACAAATGTCTGTTAAAAAGTTATCATTCATTGTGAGTGTGTACAAAATGTGTATGTTTAGGAAAAGTATACAAAACTACAAAATTATTACACGCATATATACAGTATTAATGTCCATCTTGATACTTGTGTCACTGGGACAGGTAAGGCATGAAACAATAACAGGGCATAAGAAAACAGGCCAGAAAGGTCAATAAGGAAGCTATACCCTAAGAAAATATAGTAGATATTTCAAACTTTCGGCAAAGATTTAATCACATGATTAAAATAAACCGCAGCAACTGGCAACAAATGACCAAGAACAAGCTAGCGCATATATATGTGTTCTTACCTCCTGGTCATCCATGCCTGTGAGCGTATTTCTTATAGATCTATATAACTGAACACGCTATTAATAAACTACTATGAGTGTAAAACGGTAAAACGGTGTCACAATAAGTGATGTTTTGAGACAATAACAACAAAATAGCGTCCACGGAACAGAATGTGGACACCGACAGTATTAATGGTGTAGATCTAGTCTAGATTAGATCTACTACATAAAAGGTGATTTTTCTGGGTAGAATCCGTTATCACTTCACACACTGACACGCGACAAGATCTCGATTTAGTTTTGCTGAGTGTTACGTGTTTCTGTGGGAAGCAACAATGTGTGAGTACAATGGACGATGTATCATGAAAAACCAGTTATCTTAGATCACAAGAAAAAAATTGCGTTTCATAATGAATTCGGTTCAGCAAAATCAGCAAGGAAGAACTGAAACATGTTTTCCGTTCCGTATAAACTGAGATCTAGACCCAGTTTCCTCCAATCAAAGTGAGAGGTACCCACATTACGGCTACAAAACACTGTCGTGGACTATTTTTTGCTGATTCATCATGATTTTACAGCAAGATCAGTTTTGCCACCATGAACAAGCATTGGTTCATTTACCATATCGATTTTTTTTTTTCAAACTACCATTATATAACATGGTATTCATTGATATTATACGAAAATTGGGTGCAAAAGAAATAAAATACAAGAATTGAGACATTTTGTTATCTGACTTTGGGTCAATGTTTACGTTTTCTCTAACGAAAACAAGACACGCAACGAAATGCAATCTGCGCATGTCTGATCGACCTCGTTGTGACCCCGAGCAAAGCCCCGCCCCTTCGCGATGACGAAATGCGCCAGGCTCCAACGCCATGCGCAGCCCGCGAACGCTTTTTTTATTTGATGAAGTCAGCAACTAGACCCCAGTCTACACTGCGTGCGCAGTACTATTTTTAGACGTACTAAACAAAGACATGAGCAAGCAGATTATTTTGAAACTAGCGACGCCACGCACAGCAGAACAAAGAAACTGGTCGTCATGGACGAAGCTAAGCCGACACAACGGGATAATTTTACCGTGGGGCTTAAAACAACTTTGGAAAAATAACCAAATCATTAACTTTACACTATCGGGGTCGAATTCGAAGATAAAAAAAAAAACCAGCGCCATATCCGTGAAGCTACACACATGTTTTGAGCGGGGGAATGTCAAAATTTGGGGTGTGGTGCGAAAATCCTGGTTCTCATTCTGTCATTCTGTTTCACAATAGCCTACCCAATCTACTCAAATGTAATTCACGCAGAACAGTTAACGCCCTCGTGGTTCTTGGAGAAAAGAAACTCTTTTTTAAATTAATGAAAATAAAATATTTTTAAAAGTGATTTTTGGTAGGGCCTAGACGAGATGTAGAGAACTTACAAGTTACATTTTTAGAGAGAAAAAATATAGTCTGCATGACTATCACTCACGCGTAAACACGCCATATTCAACAAGAGCTGTCCGACCCTCGCCATGCTTCATAATAATGCCCTACTTAACACAATGTAGGTCATATCCAAAGCAAAGAAATTGGAATCACACCAATACACTGGGCTGTGGAGAATTATCCCAAGAAGAAATAGAAGAATCATTTGATCCCACTCAGGCAGAGAAAAATACATCACTACATGAAAAGTTGATTCCAAACTTAAGGAAAATGAAAAATAAAAAGTCATATGAGGAAAAAGTAATATTATGAACATGTACCTCCTTTCATTCTCCATTTTTTTGGTATTTATTTTTAAAGACAAAGAGAGAAGAAGAAAGGATGGAGGGGGTGGGAAGAGATGATCGGTGTCTATAAATTCACAAAGCTTTTTAAAACGACAGATGTGGGGGAGGGGGGAGGGGGGGGTCATCTTGGTTCAAACCTATACAGAATGTAACATGTTACACTTTCATACAATTCTTTCAAAGTGAGACAATTGAGGTTAAATTAAAAGTACACCTCTGGAAAGCCTGTCGCTCATAGTTGGACAAGTGCCTAAATTCTCTACAAGTGAGTAAATAATGAAAGCAGCACTTCATATCAAACCTGTATCAAATACTGCTTTTACCAGTAGACTCAAAAGATTAAAAACCATTCGCAAGATTGAAGACTCAAAGATTGAAAAACTGTGAGAATATTTCTTGACATTATCTTTCACCTGATTCAAAAGGTGGACATGTGAAGCCCTCATCAACATACAACCCCAAGAATTACACAAAAGAGAGAAGAATGAGCTATAAATGGGAGAAAAAAGAGTGAGCCCAATTCAGGCCCTTTCTGTACCTTGAGAAATAGTCTATCAAGCAAGAAGAAGAGTGAGCTCAACTCATGTCCTTTCTCTCTTCTTGTACCTTGAGAAATGTTTCGATCTGCCATTATAATAACCTGAATTCATCTGCTGTAACATACTACGTTTAAATTAAATCTGATTCAAAACTTACACACTTAATGAAAATATAGATGTAAACATATTTATTTAAACATTATAAACGCGCGCTCATATGACCTTAGCAGTTGCGAGCGCCGTAAAACCTTATACTATACATACAAACATTATAAAGATGATTTGTATAGCCTTGTTCTCAAAAGCCAGGTCTATACTTTTTCTTTCAGGTCTATGGCATGAATATAGAGATTCTATTTTTAAAAACATATATATATATATATATCTTCACTTGAAAAGAAGCCATGGAGAAATAACAATATCAGAATGTGTGTGTATTAAATCAGTTTCATGCACAAATGGACCACTGACTGACCCAGGAAAGTAGGCTATTTATTTTATTTAATTGCCAATGTGTGTGAAATTTCAGCCAGATGTAAGTGAACATTTACACTAATAGTCATTAACTAATCTAGTCATTATTTTTTAGATGAACAGATCTAGATTATACACACTGAAAACAATTACCAAAGATTGATATTCATGAATGGGATTCCCGTGAAAATTCGTAGATTCTAGATCTAGATTGTTATCATTTAATGATGATGAGCTCATCGAAGTTCATGGTAAACAGGAAGAAGTTCAAATTCAGGTCCTTGTAAAATGTACACACCCCTGGACCCAACGCGGAATGGGAGTTTGAAATCTGAGGTGGGGGGAGGGGTATATATTGGATGGTGGTAGGGCCTATAAATATAAATTTGTAGATCTAGATCTAGTTATATAACATGCCTTTCTTGACGATGACACCCATTCCCATAGACTATTGAGGCCTTATTGGTCATACAACAAAACAACTGATCGGAATCCCGAGTCCGCAATCCCTTTATTTTATCACAGCTTCTAGTAGTCTACTTATATATTCTTATGACCCAATTCAAACCGTTTGTATGTTATTATAATTCAATTCACAGAATAAAGGAAGAACTGTTATTTAAAAGAATAGGAGAACATGAAAGTTGGGAATCAAATGTTCAGAACAGCCACGTTCACATGCTAGAGTTTCATTGCCCTCAACGGCGCTCATAACGGATCTCGGATCTATCTATTTTAGCTTGGGCGACCGAGGCCAGCAGGCCGCGTGGTATGCTTCAGACAACATGGGCTGATCCCGATCAGGATATGAGAATGAACCACAAACACAACCCATAAGAATGCTGATAACCAACAAAAATGTCGGAACTTTAATTAACAAAGCTATTCATTAATTTGAACATGAAGCAATAATACGACAATATTCAAGACATGATGATGATAAGTCATTGAATCGAAAACGTAAACAAAGCCAGTTGTGGGAAAATTCGATTCGTCCAATGACACAGAGATTTTACCCCTCACGAGGTCAGGCGACCTACTTTATTCTCAAACGTTACAATATTCCTTTATACAACCAAACGTTCCCCCAAGATCAACATAAACGGGAAAGTTAAGATATTTCAAATTTAAAACAAAAGGGATGAGAATCAAAACCCCTACATTTTCATCTTACATAATGGCTACCTCAACATTTGGGAGCTGCGCAGTTCCCATTCATCTAGCTGGGATCTACCCTCGTGTTGTAAACAGAACGTAAACAAAGACCATGGTAGGGTTCGTCAAAATGAATTCGAGAAAGATTTGAAGAAAACAAAGGTTTTCCTTACCTTTTTACTCATATTCCACACACTGTCTCAAGTATAAATCACTGTATGTATCCCACTCGAAAAACAAATTGAAATACTTTGAAATTCACAGATGTAGCCACGGAGGTGGTCGCTAAGTTTACTAACAGCATCAGAAATTACGTAGTTTACGCAAATCACTTCGGCTGTAGCTTCGTATGAGTTCGCGCGAGACGTGCCGATGTGATGACTCAGCAAAGCACGCTGTGACCACAATAAACCGTCGACCTAGCGGGTTTCTTTGTTGTTGCAGAGCGCCTAGTAACTTTGGGTACAGCAACGCTTCACTAGCAGAGTGGGAGAGGCGAGATCTTGTTTTAGGATTGCGACACACGTTCGAGCACAGATTGAAGTCTATCCTAGTTACGATTTTCTCCTTCACCCTAACGATAAAGAAAAAAATTAGAAGCATTTATTTATCGAACGCTCAATACTGACAGGGCCGAAGACATGAAAGACGGAGTATTGATTTCAACTTTAATGCTCAGTATGTTTATATGACTCATCGTTATCCCGCCAGAGAATAAAGATAGGCCTCCTCTTTGTTGCATCAGCGTGTCTACAATCGAATTTCATTGATAATAACCTCAAGACAAAGAGTTAAGGTTTAAGAACAAATGCACTCCCCTCCCCCTTTTTTTCAAAAAAGAAAGAAATTAGCAGGAAAAAAAATTAGAAAGGGAAATAAAAATAGAATTAAGATAACGACTACAATTATGATAAAAATATTATCACAGTACATACATCTCTTTGTCACCGTTTCCCCTCTTCCGCCTCTCAAAGTCACACACAATAATAACAGACCTTTCAAGCAAAAACTTTTTTTTTATTCCCCCCCCTCTCTCTCTCTCTCTTTTCTCTCTCTCTCTCTCTCTCTCTCTCT